GCGTGGCTTTTTAGGACCCCTTTACCGAACCAGGAAGTAAACAATGCAATAAGCTTAAAGAACTACAAATCTTTGCAAAAATACTATCCGATTCCGTAAAACAACCACTAAGATCTCGGGAATAACTAATTAGAAAGACTTTACTGGTCTAATATGGTATGTTGCTTTTTATAAAAAAAAATAAAATAAAATAAAAAAAAGTTAATCTGCAAAACCATCAAAACGTGTAAATTACGCAGAACTTGTCCTGACTTATGTGTTGCTTCAGAGGTTGAAACTCGTCAAAGGAAGATCGAAATAGATCTCGATGTGGCATGAGCAGATCTCAAAGCAAAGATTATTCCCTGAAAGCCGACATAAATGTTGAAGAGCCTTGGGATTAAAAATGAAATGTTTAAAAAGATCGACTGGCTGTGTAATTTTTCCACATATTCCTCATATTGTGATATTTCAAATAGGTATCCACAGAAACTATAGCGAAATCTTTTTAACTGTTTCTGTAATGTTACACTTTATTCCATAGACATAATATAAGCATAGACGCCTCATGGACCGCTCCGGCGCAGGAAATACGGCGGCCATCTTGGAGCGGTATACCCTCCTACTTTGCTCAATCAAAACAGCAGAAGATGCCTCAGCACTGAGGGATATTGTTGTTCTGGTCGATGGATTACTGATTCGAGGGCTCCACAGACAACATTTCACAAGTAAGATGGACATATTATTGTGTATATATAGTGATTAGAATATTACTTTACTGTATTTATGTCCACCGGCGAGAACCACACCGCTCTTCCTGAATCCGCAGTTCAACTATCCGATGGACCCTCCTCTCCAGGGCCCCTGAATAGACCTTGTCAGAGAGGCTTAAGACTGTTACCCCTCTGTAATTGGAGCACACCCTCTGGTACCCCCTGGTGATGGTGATCTTTCCCAGGTCTTCCCACTGACATGGCCGTCAGTGGGAAGACGGCCATCGCAGGTTCGATTCCTGGCCTGTTGAGGCGACAGCCGCATCGAGGACTATAGCCTCCATATGTAGGATGTGCTCAACTCCTGCACCACCACAGCAACCCTGTATTATTAAATGTCGGCCAATCCAGGGGAACTTCTCTCAATGACCATGCAATATTGTAGAGTCGCATCAACCAACACAACCCTACAATATCCAGAGCTTTAAAGAACTCTGGGCGGATTTTGTCCACCCCTGGGGCCTTGCCACCGAGGAGCTCTTTAACCACCTTGGTGACCTCCTCTCCAGTAAATTGGAGAGCCTGACCCAGAGTCCCCAGTCTCCACTTCTTCAATGTTGTTGGGATTGAGGAGGTCTTTGAAGTATTCTGCCCACCGACCCACAACGTCCCGAGTTGAGGTCAGCAGCACACCACCTCCACTATAAACAGTGCTTCACCTCCTGAGACGCCAGATAATGGACCAGAATTGCCTTGACGCCATGCAGAAGTCTTTCTCCATGGCCTCTCCGTACTGGGAGTTAAAGCTCTTTCTCAAAGGATCCAGATGTTCCCAGCAGAGGCTTACAACACATTTGGGCCTGCCAGGTCTGACCAGCACCCTCCCCACCACCAGACCCAATTCACCACCAGGTGGTTAGTGGACAGCTCCCCATCTCTCTTCATCCGAGTGTCCAAGGCACGTGGCCACAGACCCGATGAAATAACTACAAAGTTGATCATCAAACTGTGGCCTAAGATGTCCTGGTGCCAAGTGGACATATAGACACCCTTATGCTTGAACATGGTGTTTGTTATGGATATTCCATGATGAACACATTAGTCCAGCAACAGAACACCACTTGAGTTCAGATCAGGGGGACCATTCCACCCAACCACCTTCCAATGCCATTGCCCACGTGAGCACTGAAGTACCCAAGCAGAACAAGGGAGTCAGGAGGGGCACTCTCCAGTACCCCCTCCAAGGACTCCAAAAAGGGTGGGTAATCTGAACTGCTCTTCGGTGTGTAAACACAGTCAGAACCCGTCCCCCCACTCATAAGCAGAGGGAGGCTACCCTCTCATTCAGTGCGGTAAACCCTAACGTACAGGCACCAAGATGGGGGGCAACAAGTATACCCACTACTGCCCGGCGCCTCTCACTGCGAGCAACTCCAGAGTGGAAGTATGTCCAACCTCTTTCTAGGAGTCTAGTCCCAACAAGCCAGGTGAAGCAGACGATTTCTAGCCGAAACCTCTCAACCTCACACACTAACTCCTAATAGGAGCAACCCACCAGAAGCCACAGTCATTCTATAGTTTAATCAATCAACCACCAATTCAATCATGTTTTTGTATAGCACATTTCAGCAACAAGTCTTTTACATCAACCTCTCCATGGCTGCCACCTTATCGTGGTGAAGGGGTTTTATTGTCCCAGCGATCCTAGGAGCTATCCTGTCAGGGGTTTCATGCCCCTGGTAGGGTAACCCAAGGCAGACAGGTCCTAGGTGAGAAACCAGACAAAGCACAGCCCGAAGACCCCTTATGACGGATAAAACCTTTGGACGCAGGTCACTGGGGCCCCACTCTGGAGCCAGGCCTAGAGGTGGGGCACGTTGGTGAGCACCTGGTGGCTGGGCTTTTACCCGTTGAGCCCAGCCGGGCTCAACCTGAAGAGGAAATGTGGGTCCCCCTTCCCATGGGCCCACCACCTGTGAGAGGGGCCAAAGGCGTCAGCTGCAGTGTGGAACGGGTGGTGACCGAGGGCAGGGATCTTGGCGATCTGATCCTCAGCTGCAGAAGCTGGCTCTTGGGATGTGGAATGTCGCCTCTCTAGTGGGGGAGGAGCTAGTGTGAGTTACAAGCACATCCATTCATTGATGGATTTGATTGATTGATTTAAAATGTAGAGCACTTCATGTTTCTTTCTGTTCACAAGAGTCATTGAGTCAAATCCTTTCCCACAGGATTTGGGGAAAGGTATTGGACTTTTCCCACAGGATTTGGGGAAAGGTATTGGACTTTTTGCCCACTCTGCAAAAAGTTTCAGTACCTGGTTTGATGACCACGGCATCATTCTGCTTGGTTGGAAAGTAAACTAGAAGACTGACCTTGATCTAATAGAGAATCTACGGAGTGTTGTTCAGAGGAAAATGAGTGGAGTCACCATAAGGAAAAAAATAAAGACAAATTAAAGGGAACATGAGCTTTCAACAGAACCACAGGCTGAGTTCCTCCATGTCAAACCCCTTTGATGGACTCAATTGACCATAAATTGTGTATTGAGTACACGTAATGTATAGTAAATAGATGTACTTTTCAGTAGGCTGCATAAAAAATACAAAAATATAATAATTTGGGGTTTAAGTAAGAAATAAATTAGAAATAAATGTAAAATAAATCTACAGTTGTGCTACATTGATATACCCTCATGGAATTTTTTTTTTTGTTGTTTTTGGCCATTTTTTAAAGAATATGAATAAAACCACAAAAGCATTTCACTCATTGGTAGTGGTTGGATGAAACTATTTATCATCAACTATGTATGTATAACATGTAAACAAATCAAGTGAGTATGGTTACCTTCAATTTGTGTCAACTTATGTGCATAAGGTCAAAATCATCAGGGTGTGGAAACCTTTGATCAGGCTCATGATTTAAAATGATTGAAAACAGTTGTTTGACAACAAATGGCTTCACCCAAGTACAAGCCATTAGTGAAACATTTCTGTGTATTCATTCATATTCTCTGATGTTTAAACTTATGAGCACAACTATATGTGGTTCAACATTTTGAATTGAATTAGTAAAATAAATCTAATTTGATCATAATTTTATTTATGATATTAACCAGTAACTTCCAGAGATCTAAAACTGTATCTGATCTCTCACTGGAGCTGCGCAACTTTTCATGTCTCCTTGCACCTCAACGAGTCTGGTGGAAAGACAAGAATCAAACTAGCAAAGGACATCTGTTGGTAAGAATGTGGTAAACCAGATGCTTTTAATTTAAATGTTTTAGTTTTTCTTTTTAAACAGCAATCATAGAAGCTCATCACTACTAAAGAATTTCAATGAGAACATCAAAGAGACCTGGAGGCCTGCAGACCTGCACTCTTCCAATCCTGCTGTTTCAACAGAAAAAAACAAACATAACCAAACATACAGAGTCAGATGCCCCTATTGCCGTGTGAATAAGTGCTTGGTGAAGACAGCACGAGAAAAGGATCAGACAATAAAAATCTCAAAAATGCTTGTAAAGTTACTTTTAAATGTAGATAATATTTGTAGATAATGTTTGGCTGATTTGTGGAGGATAGCAATTGGATCTTTAAGTTCATTACAATCAGAAGGTCTTAGCTCACTAGCAAGGTCAACAGAGAACCTGATATACATGCACTAAAAGTAGACAAAGAGAAAACAAGTAAAAATATGAAAAATAAGTTTGAGATTAGATCCAAATTTGTTTGCCCAAAGCCACACCAAATGTCCACAAGGTTGGACTGAAATTTTTTTTCAATTTCTCTCTTAAAAAAGAAAAGGCAAACCAACATTATTGCACATGAGCAAAAACAGTAATACTATTACAGCACTGTTCAAATCACTCCCCTCCTTCCCCCCCAAAACATTCTGGTGATGGATGACACGTTTCATTATCAGAAACCATAAATTGGGGAAAACAAACTAAACAATGAGTAGAAACACTGATGTGGATCAGAGGACAGATGAGACAGCCAGCAGAAATGAACATTGTGCTATTACATACAGCAAATGCTGACATAAGTGCTTTTCTTTAAGCTTGAAGAAAAATTGTATTAAAAATAAAAGCAGGTATTTCTGGTTGAGGCATTGTTAAAAGTTAGCTTGTGCTATCCATTCAGGCATGACCTTATAAAATCCAAATCAGTGGAAAAAAGGAGAAAACCTTCAGAGTTTAAAAAAATTAAGATGTTACCCTGCAGATCATGTAGTTTCAAAGTTTGCTGCACTGAGTGATGTGCAACATCTGGGGGAGAAAATACGATTTCTCTGAACTTTGCTCTGTCTGTTGGCTTTCTCTAGTTTTCTTCTTTGTTTTAAAGACCCTCATTATTGGTGTTGAGTGGCAGTGTCCAGATCCAATAATGTGGCAATGTGATTCAGTAAAAACACTGGAGCTTCAGTGAGGCTGTTTGGGAGAGTCACTCTGGAGGAGGCTGACAGCCTGCAGCATGGTCACTGATAAGGTTCTGGATGAGCACTTCCTCACATCGGTCCATTGACAGACACTTCCTGGGTCTGTGGCGAGTCCTCTCTGGTAACACAAGATGTCACAGTCAGTTAAAGCACTCAAATGATCCAACTTCATTTGTCTGCATGAACACTTACTTCTCATTAGTCTGTGTGTTTACAGATGAGTCCGCACCAGGCTGCTGTGAAGGGGGAAGAGGATCTGTCAGAGAGAGCTTCTCCAGGGACACTGTACACTCCTCACTGTGAAAGAAAATCATTGTGGTGGTGGGATTTACTGCTATTTATAAGTCAACTGTGTTAGAAATGCAAAAAAAGTTATTAGTTATATAGAAATGTCAAAGATGCATACACATCTTTTGCAAGACCTGCTCTTGTTAAATCTAATCCTAATATTGTTTTTCTTTTTAGTGTTGAAAACTGTTGAGCTGAGGTTAGCACAACTGTGAATATGATCACTAGAGGAAATCCTTGCATCCCCATTAATGATTATTCTTTTAAGGAATGTAGATAGCTTGAGTTATTACAATCAAAATCCATTGATGTTATAAAATCTCACTTAGCCACACAAAACAGGTCACCTGCCAAACAATAGGTCTGTCATCACATGACATTTAGACTCAAATTCAAATATTCAAAAATGCTTTACTGACTCCAAAGCAGGCAGTGTATATAAGCCTGGTGGGCCACTAGGCTTTACTTTGCCGTCCAGCCAGGATAAGCATTGCTTTTTTTTGTTTTATTAATAATAATAATAATAATAATAATAATAAAAATCAACAAAAAAAAATATAGTTAATTTATAGCATGGGCTAGTTCTAAATGTGATCAGCATTACATTGTATTTTTAGATCCACTAACTGAAGAATTAATTTGGATTTAAAAGCACTGCAAATTGATATTTATCTTAATAGTATTATTTTTGATTGTTTTTAAGATTTTCGTGCTGTGGGTTTAGAAATTGTCAATAATGTCTTCCAGTTAAAGACGACAATTTGGACATAAAAAAATGGGTAACACTTTATTTGAAGGGGGGGTGAATAAGACTGTCATGACACTTTCATAAACATGACCATTACTGTTTAAACTTTACCTTTAATAACATAAAGATTCCTAATTTTTAAAGTGCAATCAGTAAAACTTTTATAACAAATTTATATCAGTAATGATTTCTTGCTTAATGTCAAGTTGTCATAACAAAGACATTTTGAATAATGTCAACTTTGTATTAAAAGTGTCATAATTTACCGAATGACGCTTTATGACAACAGTCATAAATATTCATGAAGGCTTATTCATGTTAACGACAGGTGTTTATGACAGTGTCATGTCAGTCTTATTCACCCCCCTTCAAATAAAGTGTTACCAAAAAATGTGATTTACATTTAGGATTAAGGTGTGAATTGAGTTTTGGTTAGGGTTAGGATTAGGTATGTGATGGATAGGGTTAGGAAAAGGGTAAAGGTAAGGTTTAGGCTGTAGAAATGAATGGAAGTCAATGGAAAGTCCCCACAAAGATAGCCGTGCAAACATGTGTGTCTGTGTGTATGGTGTTTGTCTGTGTGTGCAGTGAAATGGGTACAAGGAAACAAATAGAATTGGACATTTTCTGACCCTTTTCACCCTTCAACTTGACTGCCGGGTCAAAATGACTCAAACAGTATCTATGTAATAAGTAGGGGGGGATGCAAATGTATAAAATGAATCATTTTCAATTTATATGTAGATTGCACCTATTAAGACAAATAGAAAAAGTTTCATGCAGAAAAAATGCTTCCAACTATTTTAGAACAAATTTTAAACTTTAAAACGGGTCAATTTGACCCGCAACATAACAGGAAGGTTAACATCTTTTAATAAAAAAAGCACGGTGAACCGCTTCGGTGCCCCGACCATGGTGCTTAGCAAGTTTTTTGGAGGGAAACCCTGCCAAAGGGAAATTAAATGTTGTATGGGTTCTTGTTAAAAGCTAAACAGCATTGTTGTTGTTGTTTACAGAATAAATGCAAAGAAAAACTTTGAACTAAGGTTGTTTATAATGTAGGCTGCCCGTCAGTCATTCCCGACTAACAGTCATGAAAGATTATAAAAACAGACCAAAATGGATAGTCAGCTGGGCAACGCTTTCATCAAACATTGAAATAACCATACTTCAACACAGAAGATAATTTGATGAACAGCAAGTTAAAGGAAAGTAACTTGAGTCTTAAAAGTGTGCCACAAGGTAGGATGGCTTGACAATTGGGGGATTTGCTTAGGACACTGTCTGACATAATTGGATTAAGATAAATCCAATTACACCTTAGAGCTAGGTGTGAAGAGTTTCAGGTGAAAGGGGAAAACCTTTTGAGGTCGGCTGTCTGGTTGGTAGGGGCCATTTCTGAGGAGATTGCTTCAGGAGGAACATTAGCGTTTTTGTCCGCACTTTCACTTTCGAATACCCCGAGGGAACAGCTGTCTGATGCCACAACTGGAGTGGTTTGTGTGTCTCCTGGTGTAGAAGGACCTGAGGCACCAAAATCTGCAGACAGACACAATAAAAGGAGTAATTTATTACAAAAACAAAAGAACCTGGAAATTTTCTAACTCATACAGGTCCGCAGGGGGATAAAGAGGGGAAAAGTTATGACAATTCTAAGGGCTCCTGACCGACAGGGGGCCCTCCACAATTTATATATTTATTTTTTGTTCATAGAAATTGAAAAAAATTGGGGCCCTGTCAATTACAAAATTAATCATATTGTTTTTTGCAAAGATTTTTTTTAGCAGTGAAAATATGTTTCCATTCCAAGACCAAAACACACACATCTATATTTGTACTGAACCCGCATGAAATGATTCGCTCCTGCTTGGAGCGCTTGACAGTGACGGTGTTCAACAGCCGTCAGTAGAAGGCAAGAACGACCATGGCAGATACTATGCTGCTAAGAAAAATGTTAAAATCAGGTTTTCAAAAACTAAATAAATAGAGAGAGGGAGAGAAAGAGAGAAAAAGGTCAGAGTGCCAGTTTTTCTCAGAGAGGTGTGAGATTATAAATAGTTAGCTAAATAGTTAGCTACAGACTACTGTTTGCCTCCTTTTCACTAGCATTTAATGAATTAAGAAATTACCAAGATATTCATATATTTAACTTGTCCCTGTACCTTTTAGCACACTTATCAGATGACTTAGTAAGCAGCAGCTCTAGCCCATGTCCCTCCTGATCTGTCCTCTCGTAAGTGAATTTAAAGCTGCAGTATGTAACTTTTATTAAAAAATATTTTTTTCACAAATTTGTTAAAACTGTCATTATGTTGTGACAGTATGGTATGAGCGATAATCTGTTAAAAAATTCCTCTGCCTTCTCCCAGTGCGCTCTAGGAGTTTTAGTGCTGTCAATCACAATCTCATGTTGCTGTTCATCCTCTCTCCACCTTGCTCTGTGCTATGCTGCAACTAGTATAGCCTGTTATGAGTGCTCAGTCTAGTTAGCATAGCTATGATGGCAGATAAATGGCTTCCTGTAATGATATATTGTTTCTCCACTATTAGCACATTTAGCAGTGAGTGAACGAGGTTGATTGACAGCGCTAAGACCCTCCTCCTGGTTCTGATAGGTTGTTTTGGTCAGAACGTTGCATTACTTTAGCTAGCAATAGTAGTTCAGGGAGGAGGTGGATATTAATTGTTTTTATGGATTATCTGTCTCATAGCAAACTGTCACAACATGGTAACAGCTTTAACAAATATTT